ATCCCTAAAGAGTCTAGTCTCTATCGTGAAACAAATCTAATGAACCAATATTTATTTTAATTCTATAATTATTTAGCATATCTACAATCGATAATTAATAAGTAGAATTGATAATTTTCAAAATCGAACCGAACAGACTAATCTAAACTCTATATTTGTCAACCCTAAGGACTATTTTGGTCATTTTATCTAAATTAGCCTTATTTCTTTCTTCTTCACGGGAATATTGCAATCTGCAAATCAGTAAAGCAGTGATAAGGAGATATTTTTCAAAGAAAAAAAGATGGCTGGATTATCACAAGATTGGGAGCCGGTGGTGATTCGTAAGAAAGCGCCGACCGCCGCCGCACGGAAAGATGAGAAAGCAGTCAACGCCGCTCGCCGCGCCGGTGCCGAAATCGAAACCGTCAGAAAAGGTATACAGTATCCTGCTCCTTTTTTTCATCTTAGCCTTATTGATTTTCTAACTACCTTTTTTCCGATGAGTTATACTATATCCTGCTCCTTTTTTCATTCCCGTTCGTTTTTGCTTGGTATGAACTAGGGCTTTTATTTTCATTTTTATTTTTATTTTTCCGGTCAGGTTAACGGCCAATTTCGACGTACACCTCTTTATCTATGGTTCCTGTTTACATATAGCTAAGTCATGCTCCAATTGAATAACTCAACTCCTAATAAAACACTTTTGATTAAGAAAATTTTGAATTTTTTTTTGCTCGTGTTCTCAATCGTCTATTAGATAGTTAAACATATTATTTTTAATGATATGCATCAACCTCAAGTAGAAAATGTCTGTGGTTTTATAGATGCGTATAATCAAGGAAGTGACATATTTTATGTGGTTAGCTTAGCTATATCTAATAGACGAATGAGAACACACTCAAAAAAATAAAATTTGAATCGGAAGTGTCTATTTGGAACATGACTTAGTTCAAATGTCTAAGTGGAATATCCTAGAAAGTTTAAGGGGTTGGCTATGTATGAGGCCTGGTTATGTTTCAATTATGGCAGTCATGTGATAGTATTATACTACATTGGTCTGCAATGAGTGTCTGTACGGTTTTTATTTTGCTTTTCCCAAAGATACAAACGACTGTTGCCTCTAATGGGATTTGGACCAAGGTTCCAAGGCTGTTACTCCAGATTTTCAGCTCTAAACTATACATTTGGGGCAAGTGAGTTTATATCTCATAAAGCTTAAACCTTTAGAGAGCATACTTATATTTACTTAATTGAAGAAGTTAATATTGTCTAGATTCATTCTCTGTGTTTAGGTTAATAGCAAAACTTACTCTTCCTGGTTTTGGTTTTGTGGCAAATAGAAATTTCAATGTGATGGTAGATTTTCTTATTTATAACTTATCTTCTTCGTGTGGTCCAGATTCGCTGTTAGTAGCCTAAAATCCTATATAAGGAGCATATTGTATATTGTCTTCTACCAATTAAGCCAAATTCTCCCTTCTTTTTTCTTCTCTATTTTAACATTAGGAAAGGGAGGCTCCAAGTTTCTTTTATGTGCATTTTTCTTTTCTACTTTGTTTGCCAAGAGAGATTAGTAATCTGAATTTTGATATTGGTAAGTGGAAAGTGGAAACTGCTAGGTCCTGAGAGATATGCACGTCGCTTTGTCATTGCATGTTGAGGGCAGTCAGGGTCGGGAAGGAAATGACTCGTTAATGTTGGAACGCACCTACTTTAATGTAGAATGATATCTCTCTATATGTTCTATGCTTTTGCCAATTGCTAGATGGTGCAAAACTTCATTATTGGTGTGGTATTTTTTTTGGTTGACATCGATCCTTTAGTTGTAAAAATGAGAAAAATGTTTTGCGCTCATGAAATCTATTTTCTGATGCAGCTACTGCTGGGTCAAACAGGGCTGCCTCTAGTAGTACAACTTTGAACACGAGAAAGCTAGATGAAGATACTGAGAATCTGTCACGTAAGTTTGAGTTGATATTATAACTAGAAACACTTCTATAAAACAATGTGGTTAGAGAGCTTTTCTTTTCTCTGACTTATTATCCACCGCGATTCGAACCATGCGCCACTTGCTCTAGGAATTCATCTATTAGCAAAAAAAAAAAAAAAAAAGCTCTTTACATCCTGACTTGACAAGCAGAAACTTTTTAAAGGTTTCTCCTTCAGGCAAATACCAATTGGTTTGCCACTGAAAAAACCCCAGACATTTTATCTTTTGGTGATGACGTCGGGTGTTACTTTTTTTTTTTTTGTTCTCAGATGAAAAGGTACCTACTGAACTGAAGAAAGCCATTATGCAAGCTCGACAGGATAAGAAGCTTACGCAGTCTCAACTTGCCCAAGTATCTCTCTCTCTCTCTCTCGCGCTCTCCCTGCTCTTGCCCCCCTTTTAAAAAAAAAAACAAAGCAATCATCTATATATAGATAGATTCAAGAGAGAGGCTTAATTCATTGTATTAACATAATTTTGGCAATCCCTTTGTTGTGCAGTTGATAAATGAAAAACCACAGATCATTCAGGAGTATGAATCTGGAAAGGCAATTCCAAACCAACAGATAATTTCTAAGCTGGAGAGAGCTCTTGGTGCGAAACTTCGTGGAAAGAAATAAACTGCAAGAATGGGGGAAAGTGAACCTTTTGGCCCTCACTATCTTTTGGGGTCCTAAAAGTGGTCATGTACATGAGCCTTTTTCTTTTGAACGTTTGCTTTAACCAGTATGGTGGTGGTTCTTGTGTCTGGGTGTTACTTTCGTGGTTAAACTGAGTGTTTTCTCTGTCAAAAATGGACGTGCTTGCTTCTTGCTATGTGTATTAGTTTTTGGATTGTGATTCCTAATTTCTTTGTAGGGATGTCTTGTTTTTTAAAATGGAGGATACTTCCATTTTGTGACGCCATTCAACAATTTTCTGTCAATATTATTACCTTTTGAAGTATTTCCAAACTGTCCTTAAAATTAGAGATAGCGAATGTTAGCATGTGATTATAGTTGAAAACTTGAAATATTCGTTAAAGACTAGGCTAAACTTTTGAATTTTTTTAATTAATACATTTTTAAAATTTGAAACATTCATTCATTTTAGACCACTAAAAAGTGCTAGAAATCACACACATTGAATTGGAGGATTTATGAAGACATTAGTGCAAATAATAAGTTGCTATTTAAGATATCGATCTTCATTATTATTGCTAATAGATCGTTTTTCTCTTGGCAATATAATTTTTTTTAATTAGTTCTTCTACTAAATGAAAAATAATAATTTTCTTAAAAATGGAACTAGTAGTCCGCATATTAATTCAAGTCAAATTCAATAGATTTTATTTAAACAGTATTTATATATTAAAATCCTTATATCGTAAAATTAAAATTAAAATCTTAATTTCGCCTCTACGTTACATTCTGCTTTAACCGTCAATAGCTTTGCAGTCCATTATTTATTATGGATATATTTTGTGCAGGAACTGCCGATTTGTTTATTGGTATTTTCCTTTGATATTATCTTTTGGCTGTCGTATGATGAGTTCATCTACTTAAATACAAAGCAATTTTTTCACCATTAAGTCACATTGAAAAGTGTTACGGAAATATCGTTGATTATTTAACAATAATCACAAATTAAAAAAAATAACATAAAATTTTAATGATTCAACTATGTCTTATTATTTGGATCCTAACAAAAAGCTCAAAACTCACTATTAAGAAGAGACAAAGTCAAAATTTAAAATTGAATCATAATTTTAAAACTTAAAATGGAGTACGTAATAATAACTATATCCTGTTGTTCAAGCGGTGGTTTTAAGAAGAAAAAAGGCTTCTATCAGCACTATAAACAGGGCCTAAGGCACCCAATTTTGGAAGGTCTCAAATTTTTTACCAAGAACAAATTATGTGTTATTTTTTTATTAAAAAAATTAATTATTTATAATAAAAAGTATATATATATTTTTTTTTTATTTTTTTTATTATATTTCTTTTCTAACATTCACATTATTTATTTTTTTAAACTCTTTTTTGCTTAAAGTTTGTCAACTTATTGGTTATAGAATTGTGCTAACAATTCATATAATGATTGCTTTAATAAAATAATATTTTTCAACGTTAATTGATAAAATTTTACCTAAAACTAATCATTTTAAATAAAAAGAAGTACTCGAAAAAATCATTTATAAAAAAAATTAAGTAATAATTTGCATATAAATAGTTATAAAAATAATTTTTAAAATAAATATATATGAAATTTGTTAGGCCTCAATTAAAATTTTGCTTTAGGCCCCCAATTACGTTGAGCCGCCCCTGACTATAAACTATATGCAAATAGATAAAGACTTAAAAAGAGATAGACTGAAATACTATTTAATAAATAGTACACCTTCCGTTCATTTTTATTTGTCACTAATTCTTAAAATAAATTTTGATTTTTACTTGTCACTTTTGACATATCAGGAAAAAACAATATTTTTTTCCATGTTTTACCCTCAACACACTACATCAAAAATGAAAATTAGCAACATTTAATTAACGGCAATTAGCACTCTTTCTATATGTCCATAAAGCCTTTAACGGCATTGGTCCTAATGACACTTAATTAATGTCCGTAAATATTTTAACACTCTTTATTAATGTTTATATTTATTGCCGCTAAAAATTATTTTTGTATAGTAACATTAAATACTTATTTTCCAAATTATTTTTCAAATGATTTAATAGGAAATAATTTAATAAAATACTTATATTAGTATTAATTATTTTTTTAATGAAGATGTTGTAAAAATTAGGGGGAAAGGGTGAAGTTGAGCAACGATGAGAGGAAGATGACAAAAAAAAAAAACAAATTGACAAGATATTTTCATGAAAACGTTAGGTCACTTCTTTCGTCATGAAAATACATTTAATTTTATCAGACGTAATAAATCTTCCTAGTTCCAAAAATAAAATAAAAATGTGTACAATCTCCACTTCTCAAGGCCTATAAATCAACCCACTCAAAAATTAAATCTTATCCAAACAAAAAGGTAAAAATGACAAGTTTTCAAAAATTCCATGAAGAATGGCATGAACATCTTCGTGAACTAGTACAACAAATGACCAAAGTACCAAAATCTTGTACTACAAATCAAGATGAACAAAACACAAAATTATTAATCCAAAAAGTTACTTCACATATTAATGAATATTATCGAGTTAAGTCATTAGCAGCCAAAAATGATATACTTTATATTTTTAGTGCACCATGGTCTAATTCTCTTGAGAGATCTTTGTATTGGATTGCTGGTTGGAGACCTACTACTGCTTTTCATATTATATATTCTGAATGCGGAATTCATTTAGAAACTCACATAACTAATATTCTCAATGGATTTCGTAATGATGATCTTGCGGACTTATCTCCAAATCAGCTCACTCGATTTAGTGAACTTCAATGTGAAACTATTCGACAAGAAAATACTATCACCGAAGAACTTTCCGATTGGCAGGTAAACACTTCAACTTATTTATTTTTAGCTTTATTTAGTCCTCCTTTTCTTTAAAGAGCAACTTTCACCTATAACAAACATAAAAATCATATTTATATGTTATAACTATAGTTTGCATAATTGCACTCCATAGCAAATTTTATGTTTGCTATGGAGCTTTTGATTTGCATAATTTGCTAGATACATTCAATTTTATAAAAATTGTTCAGTTTTGTATAAATTCATTTATACATTATAATTTGTATAATAAGATTTGTACTTGTATAATTATAAGTGTATCAGACGAAAATATTTGTATTTATTTATACACTTTTATCTCGCTTTATACAAATAAAAATGCATTTTATACATTTGTATACCGAATGGGTAATTGTATACGAAAATGACTAATTGTATACCGAACCAGATGACGAAAAAATGGGATGTTTGCTAATTACAAATAAAATAAACTATGACTATAGCATTTAATTTGAATTAATAGTTTGTTATTTCATACAATTTTTCCTTCTTTAAACTCTTGATTCGAAAAATAATTCATCTTATTTGAAGTAGAGTAACAATAATTATCTTATATAATATTCCCTCTGTCCATAATTACTTGTCCACTTTGGAATTGACACACTTATTCATAAAACAATGATTAACACAATGAGATTATCACTTTACCACTATTAAGAATGAATTAAAAATCTAAGATTTTGAAGAAGTTTTACATTTTTTAAAGTAATTAATTGAGGATATAATTTATCAAAATGGACAAGTAATCAAAAGAATAACTAAAAAAGAAAAGTGGACAAGTAATTATTTTGAATTAGGGAATTATTTTTGTTTTTCAACTAATATATATTTTTGAGTTGTAGGATGGTGCAAATGAAATAGTTGAAAAGATAGAGAAGAAGATGGAAAGGCTTGTAGAGATATTGGAGAGAGCAGATGAAGTGAGGGTCAACACCATCCACAAATTGGTGCACCTCTTAACACCACAACAAGCCCTCCAGTTTTTGATTGCCGCAACCTACTTGCTTTTTGGGATTCGTACCTGGGGAATCAATCACGATAATCAACGTGTCAAGGGATGAACTTTAGATTTTATTTGTGTTGAAGTCTGATTAATTTAATTTTTTTTTTAATTTTAGATTGTAGTTTAATGTTGAACTTTTAATAATAGTAGTATAGTAGTATTATTGTTTAATTTACTCTCACATTTTCATAGTCTTTTCACGGTCATCCATATACCTTCGTGATTTTTATCTTATAATTTTTATGGTTAAAACGTATTTATAACTATTGTTTGTAACATTATAAATAAGGGGATAAATTATATTAAAGTATAAAAGTGGTGCGATGATTTTGAAGAAAATCAAATCGTCACGATGAATATAACGAACATAAGTTTTACCATAACATGTAAATATTTGGCAGAGTCAGTTTAACTTTGCATGCCTTTTTCGAAAGATTTTACAGGTAATCACGACGTGTGGCGTTTAAGATAAGTATTGTATGCATGCTTGGCAATACTTATCAAACCAACTATAAACTACTTAAGTGTGAAGTCATAGTGTAATTTTGGGTCGTTTAGTTTGAAGGTAAGTTATGATGTATTAATTGTTAGGATCGTAAATAATTAGGTATTAGGCGAAAGCTAGCAAAGCAAATTTTGATAGATCACAAGTAAGAAGACAAATAAGAAATATACCATAAGATATAAAGATTTGATGTGGATCGAACAACCGACCTACATCAACAAAGAGATGAGCAATCCACAATATATATATAAATATGAGAGTACAAAATATAGAGAGAATTAACTTCAACCAAATCACTCGGAATATACGGAGGTTCACACAAGTGATGACGTATCATTTGTGTCCCACAAATTCTCCCCCCTAACCAAAACTCTCAAAACCCCTACATTATGAATGCAGATTAAGTTAAAAGTAACAAATCTCTATTTTAAAGTCCTAAATATTTTCCTACAAGAAAAGGACTAGCTAATTCTAAACATTTTTTTAAAAATGAAGACATATTTATGGTAAGAAACTTAGATAATTAATATCCAATATTAATTTGCTAATGTTGAGACTAATTGTTTTGAAATTAGTTATTCTGATATTATTTCTTAGTAAATGTTTGATTTGTTGTACAAAAATAATACCATATGCATTATAAATTTGTTAAGAATAAATTATTTGTTTATGAAAATGTAAAAGAGGTGTATTTATTATTTTAGGTGTTTTTATTTAGAAATAAGTTATTCCATATATAATTATTCTTATATATTGGAGCAACTATATATTGCTCGTTGATTGATTCCCATTTCCCCAGCTACGGATTCCCAAGAGCAAATAATAAAAACTCCAGCATTTGTTGTGAATAATCTAAACTATTGAACGTTAATAGTTTGTATGTTTTTTAACGTTGATTTTGTTCATAATTTATGTTTAATCTTCATGAAAGAGAAGATGAGAAGAAGAAGAGTGCTCATGTCCACGTTATTACAGATAAATTAAGACTCTATTTTTTATTTTTAAAATTATATCATTTATTATCGATAACGAACATTTCAAGAAAATAAATTTTATACAGCTACCTAAGGGTGTTCATGGTTTGGTTTGGATCGGTTATTAGTTAAAACTAAAATCAAATCAATTTCAATCGGTTTTTAAATTTCTCAAACCAAATTAAAAAAATAACCGTTGATTTGGTTAGATTTTTCGGTTTTTTTGGGTTCGAAAGTAATAAGTTTGTTGAGGACATACGCATCTCGATAGACACAAACACTTAGTACATGAATAATTCACAAATAAATTACTACACGAACAAAGGGATTCATCTAATGTACCAAGTTTCAGAAACTAAAAAACTCATTATTCATAGCATAAAGTTGGTTTAATATTCTGGAGATCTCAACATCTTATCAATAGACTTTTCAATAAAATTACACCTTAAAATATTGAGAAATTACTTCTAAAAAAAACAATCAATATTTCATAGTCAAAACTAATCAATTACCATCTTCTTTAGCTTGAGCTTTAAATTATTCAATGTTGCGTTAGAAAAATTTATAAAGAACATAGAAAGTTTGATCTTTAAAGTAATATATATTGAGCGATTTAGACTTAAGGTTTTAAAAGTTGGGTTAAAATTTTAAGTGTTGGGATTCAGAAATAGTAAAATTAAAGACTTAAGTTAATTAAAATTTATCAAAATGGTTATATTTTATTTATAAATAATTATAAATTTTTTATATATAACTTCTCGGTTCGATTTGGCTATTTTTGCGGTTAATTTTTAGTAAAACCAAAACCAAACCAAATTATATCGGTTTTTCATAATTTAAAACCAAACCTAACCAAATCAAACCAAATATCAGTTTTTTTTAGTCAATTTGGTTCGAATTGCGATTCAATTTGATTTTATAACCATAACCATGAACAACCTTACAACTACCCATAAATTATGATGCAATAAATCTCTCGATTCCGAAAAAGAAAACTAAGAGCGAATCAAAATTATATCAATATATTATTATAAATATAACGAGAAACTAGCTAGTATTTTATTTGAAAAAATAAAAATAACTTTATATCTAAATTTTAAAAGATAAAGTGACTATTTAAAGCTTTTTTAAAAAAAATTCTTGCTAGCGTATTATGTGCATGATTCTTGAGAAGTGGCGCCTTGCAGATATTGTTTGGAACTTGAAAGATTTATAACGTATGATAAAATGTCTTCATTTACATGAAAAAGTGGAAGTGACCTAACTTTTTCGAAAAAAATATACTATGAAAATGTAAGGATTTAATAATAATCTGGATCCTTTTAATGATTTTCTTAAATCATAAATTGTACTATCTTCTTTCTATATGAGTATATGAAATACTTAGTTCTATTAGCAACATACTGCAATATATATTCTTAGTTAATGATCAGAGGGATTTAATATATTATGTTGTAATAAATTTATAAATTTAGTCAATATAATAATGAGTAAGAGGGTCAAATAGACAAATAAAACAAGGTACAAGAGTTTTCCAAGTTAATTATTTCATCTTAATTTTATATATGAATAACTTAAATCTTATTAAACTATCGAACATTCACATTACTTATATAATACTTAGGCCTAATATAATACTCCACTTAATATATGCGCAGCTCATTTTAAATTAAATCTGCATATCAATAAAATAATATTAGTGGATAGACTTTGCGGTTCCAGTAACAGACAGCCAAAAGAATCACCAATTTCCAAGAAAAGAACGTATTCTTTTTTCGATATTTATATCAAGTTTGATTAATCCAAATTTGAATTAAAAAGTCTCATATTAGAAGGTAAAACTCTTTCCAACAAAAACAATTTCATACTAAAAAATATTCAAATCAAAAACTTTTTAGTCTTAGTAAAAAATAAAGAAATACTTATCGTTTCACCAGAATCGATGATCGTACGCTTCTTTATTTCGGCACAAACGGAGTACTGCATTATGACAAATTTCTTGTGCTTGACAAGTGGACTTCCTACTTGACAAGTGGACTCTAATAGGTTTTCCCTATGGAAGAAGTAACAAATAACAAAGCCACAAAAGGGGTATCCATTATCCTATCGAAATTAAAAATATTAAAGTTTGTTATTGTTTATTTAGTAAGATTGTATATGTTACGAGTTAATTTATGGGATAATGCGAACATTTATCTCAATCTTACTAGATAGGTGAATTCTTATCGTTCATTCTAATTTTAAAAGAAAATTTCAAGAAATTATTTGAGTTAAATTTGATAAAACAAAGCATAAGTAAACTTATTTATCTGTATAAATCTTTCTCGACTTTTAAGGACTTAGTGTAGATATGTACAAGAGTTTTAATAGAGTATAAATAGAAAATACATAATATAATATCGACATAGCTTTTACTTGAAAACGAAGAAGGTAGATGTTAATGTTGAGTAACCGTCATCTCACACTTCAAATTATCTGAAACAAACCTACACCAATAAAGGTGTAGGTAGAATAGTATCGATACATCACACATACTGAATATGCATCACAAACAAACTTGAATTAGCTTCGCGTAAAACATCACAAAAATCAACAAAAAATCACAAATTTATATTGAAAAAGAAATAATTAAAATTTAAAAGGATGGAAACTCTTATACCTTGATAATATCCAAATTTACATTTGAAATCAACAAATAATGTCTGATATTTTAAATTTTTTTTTTTTTTTAACATAAAAAAGAAAACAATTATTGTTGTGTTATAAAGTACACAATTCAATCTTCTCACCTTATTAGTATTTATTTACTACATTAACAAATACCCAATTTATTATCTGACAAATTCTGTGAAACAGTATTTATTTTTTTTGGCATAAAAAAGTGCGTCTTTCTTGATTGGAAGCCGCTATTGACGAAAGAGCACTGTTGCAATATTTTCTTTTGGCTTTTACGGCCTTTTAAAAAAAAATTATCATTCGACTTTTTATTTAATATTCGATATTTGTATTTGAAAAGTAGAATTTCATTTGAATAGAAAAAAAAAATTATTAAGAATTTTTCATATACGAAATTTATATTTAGAAAAGAACAACTCTATAACTGCACCACATTCCTTAATGATAGCTTTGATGATTATCTGCATAAAGAGATAAGCAATTCACGTATCTTGCTCCAAATTCACCTTAATTTAGTGGTTTAGATATTTAAATTCACCTTTATAGTTTCAAGACAAATTTTTATGTAATATATTTTTATTTTTTAAAATTTATTTATCAAAAGTTCTAAATTCGAAAAGCTATATGTGATTTTGTTATGGCAATACATGTGGAAAATATAAGTGAATCGTGGGCTACTAAAAGCCACACCATGAATTATTATTTAAATCGCAATTACTTCCTCATGTTTTGACCAAATACCATATGATTTTTCATCATATTGTTAGTGTGAACTCACTGTGACGTATAAAGTACATAATAATCTTAAGGATAAAACATAAAATTATTTTATATATTTTATATTTGGTTAAAGACATTGGACAGTTATAAAATTATTTGTTTCATTATTTATATCTTATTTCA